CACCAAAAAATAATTACCAACGTGTCCCATGTTTAGGTTCACAAGTACGGATAGCCTAACAGGCTTAGGCCTGGGCCTACATCATGTACCTGCACGGTATGCAAGCATAGGCTTGATGCCGGTTGCATCTGTTGCTAAGCTAACAAAAGTGGTGCTAGGCCCTAGGCCTATTCCAACTTTGTAGCCCCACTTTTTAGCCTAGCCTACATATACTTGTTTATAAACGTCCCATGTCGTTTATACTTCGACAGAAGGTGTTTGACTAACGTTTGGGCTCATACCTACCGACATCTGATCTAGGCTAGGCCTATACATGGGAAAAGTTCCATTCTTTTCCTGCATGGCCTTTGCATACGTGCGGCTATGCTCGGGTACACATAACGTTGGGATCGGTCACAAGACATAACGTTAGGGTCACATGTGTGCATCACAGCAAGTAAAATCTGTTTCTCCCACAGTAAGAAATTGCTGAAAAACTAATGCAAGCTGCATGAGTACTTACTCTCAAATTTCTCGATGACATCATCGGAAATGTCCTGTTCCCGAAGGAAAGCACACAATTCTTCTGTTGTCTTCGTCTTCAGTTCTTCGATCAACGACGCCATGTCACTCGCATGTGCGCAATTGTGTCAACAACGTACAAACGGCTGCCTGTGCATGTAGTATGCTATAACGTACATGTACGTACGTGTACATAAAGTACATACGCGCCCGCGTACCTGTGTCCTATTTCATGCCAGGACTGTTTTTCATACGCGGCAGGAAAAATAATCCAGTTTAAGACTATACTCTCCAAATACAAAACGGCACTTTGTTACTTGGCAAAAGAAATGAACAGTCTAGAGCCTCCTTCACATGACCAGTGCAAGATGGATTTGTAAGAAAAGTACCGAACAAGAAAGTATTAATAAAAGGGGAAAAAGTATAAATTAATACGCGAAGCGTTTCCTGTCACGTGATCAAAAGGGCGGCAAGTGATGCATCAGGCGTCTCAGGTGATGAAATTCCCCCACTTTAGCCTTTGATGATGTGCCCTGCTGCCGAGGTTAGGCTTGGGCTAATCGCTGCTCATAATGAAGATGGCTTGCCAAAATACAGCTCAGCTTTTCTTCAGTGGGCTAATAAATTAGGGTTCACGGGCCGCGATCGCCGCAGTGGCGAAATATGTAGTGTTATTTGCACAGTATTATTCTTTATAAATTCTGGTGCATGATTAACAATTCAAGAGCTGTAAATACGTGCTCTATTAGGTAAGAGCAGACTCACTAGCTACAGGCATCGAACCACTGCTTCATGTGGAGTGAACCAAGTCTTGTAGCTGTTAAGTATCAGGTACCTTGTCTTATTACTTAGACAACTCAAGAGCAACATGGATGTATGGGTGGCATATTCACTAAAGGTTCTAGATCCTATTGTTTCCAACACATGCCAAGCCAAAGCCACAGGCAGTGACGTCGGCCAACGTGTTACGTACGAATAATGGTGCCTCATATTAGATCAAATTCACTACAGGTAAAATATGCTTCAAATACGTTGGGGCTGCAGTGCTTCAAGTATATGAACCCAATCAAGTGTCAATTGCTACTTTTAAGGTACAGCGAGTTTATACCGGTGCACTTCAGGTACCTAAGTGTGCTTCAAGCACGTTAGGTGCCATTGAATGAACCTCCGGTGACAATATATTGCCG